CTGCTCCCCTCCGGCTCTGTCCCCATCACCCCTCCCCCTGCCAAGCCCTTCCCTTTGTTCTCATCTCCAGCTTTACCTTCCTGGGCCTCTTGATTTCTGATCTCCCTTCCCTCCTTCCCTCTCTTCCTCTCTCCACTCACTCTCACCACGGCCCTCCCCCCGCTACTCCAGTGCGTGCACACACACAGGCACCTGCACACGTGACGCTTGGCGCTGTGTTCTTGTGCCTTTCCTGTGTGGGGATGTTTAGATACACGAATACTTACGTGGTGTTACAGTTGCTACACCGCTCAGCACAGAACGGGGTGGACAGGCTGTAGCCCTGGGCAGCAGGCTGTACCAGGCAGCCTGGGGTGGGGTAGGCCGGACCTTCCAGGTCTGCGTCAGTGCCTGACGACACATTCTCAGAACATGTCCCTGTTAAGTGGCGCGTGGTCATGTAACAGGTCCATGCAGAGAGGGGGTTAGACTTGGGATTAAGGTGTCAAATCCCAAAGGGAATGGGGGCCTCTGGAGGAGGTCCCTGGAGTGCCTGGGACCAGGCTTCAGATTCTGGGCTCCTCAGCGGGCACAGCTAGGGTGGGGCATGGCGTGACAAGGGCTGTGATTGTAAACCGCAAGCTCTCTCGAGTGGGGTCATCGTTGTTACTGTGGGAGCCAGACAGGATGTGGGGGCCTCAGCAGAGGTGGGAGGTCCAGGCAGTCGAGGGGCACACGCGGGACCAGGCTGTGGGAGGCACAGGGTCTCCGAGTCCTCGCCAGGTCTGCAGGGACGTCTGGGCAGCCGTGGGATCCCGGGGGGGCAGGGCGGGCAGGCTGCACACTGCCCACGCAGGGGGGGCCCGAGTGGGACTGAGGACGGGTTCTGTGGGGCAGGAGGGCTGGGCGGCGCCCGCAGCCCCTGAGCTGGCCCTGGGCTCACCAGCAGAAGCAGGACCGGATCGAGGGCCTGAAGCGGCACATCGAGAAGCACCGCTACCACGTGCGCATGCTGGAGACCATCCTGCGCATGCTGGACAACGACTCCATCCTGGTGGACGCCATCCGCAAGATCAAGGACGATGTGGAGTACTACGTCGACTCCTCTCAGGACCCCGACTTCGAGGAGAACGAGTTCCTCTACGACGACCTGGACCTCGAGGACATTCGTGAGGCCCAGGGGTGACCTGCGTGCGCAGGGCGGTGGGGCCGGGCAGGGGGCGCCCCAGCCAGCTCAGCACACCCCTCCCCTGTCCCACAGCACAGGCGCTGGTCGCCACCTCCCCCCCCAGCCACAGTCACATGGAGGACGAGATCTTCAACCAGTCGAGCAGCACGCCCACCTCCACCACCTCCAGCTCGCCCATCCCGCCCAGCCCGGCCAACTGCACCACGGTGAGGCCTGGCCCGGCCCCGCTCGGGGGGTGAGGTCTCAGGGCCTGTGGTGGGGTATGGAGGGCCCCAGAGAGCTGAGGAGATGGGCGGCCACACGGGGTGCTGGGTGTGGAGGTGGGAGGCTGGGCAGAGGTCGGACCTGCAGTCCCGAGGAGGCTGGCGGGCGGTGCTGGCTCCGGGAGACGACCTGGGAGCAGGGCTTCGGTTCCCAGTGAGAATCCCCAGTGAGATAGGGACCCAGGGACTCGAATGCTCTGAGGCCCGAGGGGTCAGCTGGTTACAGGTCCCTGGGGGTTCAGAGATGACGCGTTTCTGACTGTGCCTCCCTCACCTCAGGAAAACTCTGAAGATGACAAGAAGAGGGGACGCTCCACGGACAGTGAAGTCAGCCAGGTGGGTCTGAGGGGCTGTCGCTTGCTCCTTCTTTGGTTCCCAAGGTGCACTGAAGCCTGAGGATGGCCGCAGTGCGGGCTCTGGGACAGGCTGCCCTGAGGGGCCAGGGGCAGGCAGGCAGGGGCTGTGGTCCAGGCGTGGCCCGGGCGCCTCGCTGCAGGGAGGTCAGAAGCTGCTCCGGAGGGCGTATTTGCCCTGGGTGGAGGGAGACGAGCTTGCCCAGTGGGGAGGGGTGACGTTCCTGGGGCAGGTGGTGGCAGGTAGCAGGCATCAGTGAAACCCAGAGTGCCGCCCGTGAGCCCGCCAGGTGTGCAGGGCCGGCTGTGAGCGCAGGGCTGAGGGTGGAGGGCCGGGAGCCCAGAGGGACCCTGTGCAGCCTCGGAAAGGGCCCGACCAGCCCGGGACCCGCGGGGTCAGGCATGCAGGCCCTTTCTCTGGGAGGTTCTGGGTCTTGGCTGCGCTGTGCCGGGTCTGCTGGGTTTCCCAGGGGGAAGCACTCAGGTTCCTTTCTCCCCTGGTGGCCCCGCGAATCAGCGCCTCCCGGGCAGCACACCTTGGGAGACGCTGCTTGAGTGGTGTCTCCCGGTGGGAGCGGAGCAGGCCCCAGGCCCTAGCTCTCCGTGGGCCACGGGAGGGCCGTCCCGGGCCCTGAGGCAGGCAGTGGTGAGGCTGTGAGGTGCCAGGAAGGAGTCGGCACGTGTCCCGCTGGGTGTGTGGTGAGCACAAGGGGCCGGGGCATCGGGATGGCAGGCCCAGGTGGCCAAGAGCAAGTCTTTGCCAGCAGCTTGGCTCGGGGGCGCCGTGGGCGCGCCACCAGCCTGCTTCCGGGGTGGTGCTCATGCGCCCACGAGGTGCTTAGCCCTCTACGTGATGTGTGGGATCACCGTCCAGTGCAGCTCTTCCCTTCTCTTGGGCTCGGGCTGGTTCCATCTCGCCTCATGCGAGGCCTTAGGTGTTTGCACTTGGCCGTGTCACAGACAGCGGGTTTCTCTTGTGTGTGTCACATCCCTCTGGGGGACGTTGTGGGGACAGGCGCAGGCAGGGCGGGGCGCTGGGTGGGGCTAGGAAGGCATCGGTGTTTGAAGCATGAAGGGGGCTGTGGAAGCCATTCGGTGAGGCCACCCAGCCCCGGGAAGGTGCCGGAGGCTCGGCATGGCATCCCTGCTGGCCCGCGGGCCCTGACCTCCTCTCTCCCACCCGCAGTCTCCAGCCAA